TCGCGCTGTTTCGCTCTCTGGCGCTGCTGGCGCCGCCAGGAGAGCAGATGCGGTCGCGAGCGTCTCGGCCGCCTCCGCCGGCGTCCGAGGAGTCCGCGCCGAAGTGGCCGCGCGACAGTTTGATTTCACTCGGCAAGCGCGCCGCGGCTTGCGAGTTTCGAGTTTGAGAAGCCAGTGGGGCCCATTGCGGGCCCCTCGAGTTTCGAGTTTGAGAGCTTCGTGCGTCGCGGGCCCATTGCGCTGGCTCGTTGAGCGCGCGCCCGGCGCGGCCCGGGCGCTGAGGGGCCGCCTGGCGCGTCGATGCGTGCGCCCAACAGCTGGCGCAGAGCAGCGCAATCGCGGAGCGGTACCGCGGCGCCAGCGAGGGAGTCCGCAGGGTCGCTTGGCACGTCGATCGGCCCTTGCGTCGCGAGCTGGCGGTCAATGTCGGCCATGGAGGTTGCGCGCGCGTTGAGTTCTTCCGCCAGGCGCGCGCGAGGCGCGCGCGCGGCCGCCGACGCGCGGCAAGCCGACCGTTCGCCCGCAACGGCGCGTCCTTGTTGGCCGATCTACCAACGTCCACATCGGCGCCACTGTCCCACGAGCCACGCCGAGCGCGGCCTTGCTGAAAGGTGCGTTGCCCGAACGGTCTTCCTTGCGGCGCGCGCTGGAGCGCGCCGCGCAGACGCCGCGGTGGCTAACGAGCGCATCGATTCGCACTCGCGCCCCGACGATAGCGAGGCGGCGCTGTGGGATACCCGCTGCTGCGCGTGGGTGCGTCAGGGCGACTGCGGGGCGCCGATCTCGACGGCGTCGCCCCCGCCCCGCGGTTCGGCGTCGCACGGGGCCGCAGCTGCTCCGCGCATCGGGTGCAGGCCGCCGGCGACTGCTCGGCCGTGGGTGCTGCCCGTGCCACGAGCGCATTCGCTCCTCCTTCCGAGGCCGCTCCTCTTCTCCCCAGAAAATGGAGGTGTTTGCGTGCCGGTGGAGTTGTTTTTGCGGAGTTGGGCGCCCTGTCGCGGACGGCCGAACGACCCCTGCAGCGGGACGCCCTGGCCACGCGGCCGCCGCCGCAAAAACTGCGCGTTCAAGGCTGGCGCCGCGCAAAGGAGGGGCCGAACGGCGACGCGCACGGTCGCGCGCGCGCGTGCGGGCTGCCTCCTGCCGCGCAGGAGGCGGGAAGCAGGTCGCCGCCGCTGCCCTAGCGCCCTCGCGGCCGGCGGGCGGACCTGGGCTCGGGCGGCTGGGCGGCGCGGAGCGCTCCTCGCGGGCCACGGGGCCGACGAGGGCGGCTTCCGGCTCGAGCCGTGGCCGGGGGCGAGGCAGCCAGGCCAGGGGGGCGCGGATGCTTTCCGCCGGGGCGGGCCCTCGCCGGGCTCCGTTTCGCCGGGCGCCGCTTCGCCGCAGGGCTGTTTTTTTCGCCAGGGTTGGTTTTCGCGCCAGGCTTCGTTTCGCCCGGGGTTGGCTTGCGCCGGGGCTGGCTCTCGCCGGGGTTGGTTTTCGCCCGGGTTGGCTTTCGCCGGGCTTCGTTTCGCCGGGGTTGGCTTTCGCCGGGGTTGGCTTTCGCCAGGGTTGGCTTTCGCCGGGGTTGGCTTTCGCCGGGGTTGGCTTTCGCCAGGGTTGGCTTTCGCCGGGGTTGGGCGCGGGCTCCAACGGACGGGTCGGGTCGGGCGGGCGGACCCTAACTGGCGGGGCGGGTCGGGTCGGGTCGGGCGGATCCTAACGGGCAGGTCGGGTCTGGCGGGCGGGGCACTAAAGTGTGGGGCTTGTTCGAGTGAGCACGCGTGAGCCCGAACGGACGGGTCGGGTCGGGCGGGCAGACCCTAACGGGCGGGACGGATCGGGTCGGGTCGGGCGGACCCTAACAGGCGGGTCGGGTCGGGCGGGCGGGGCGGCACTAAAATGTGGGGCGCGCCCGAGTGAGCACGCGTCTGGCTTTGCCACGGGGGCACGTAGCACTGACTGACCCTGGGTTTCAGGGGGGGGCTGAGCAACGGCGGTGTGCATGTGTACGTCAGGCCGTCCAGGGAGAAGGCGGGGGGTTGTACTTCCAGTGCCGCTGCGGGAAGGCAGCGGAGCTCCAGCCAACCGGCCGAGAGCAAAAGGAGCCAGAGGAGGAGAGAAGGAAAAGGAGCAGCAGCAGCATAGAAGGACAGGAGCGGGAGGAGGAGAGGAGGAAGAGGAGGGCGGAAACGAACCCAGGCGAAAACCATCCCGGGCGAAAGACCAACCCAGGCAAAACCCCACCCGGGCGAGAGCCAGCCCCGGCGAAAGCCATCCCGGGCGAAAGCCCAACCCAGGCAAAACCCCACCTGCGCGAAAGCCAACCCGGGCGAAAGCAAACCCGGGCGAAAGCCAATTCGGGCGGGACGAACCAGGCGAAACGAGCCGGGCGAAGGCCAACCCGGGCGAGAAACACCTTCTCCGGCCGCGGTCGTTCGAGACCTTCGTCGCGGAGAGGAGCGGCGGCGAGCCTGGGGGGGGAAGTGGTGAGGGGCGGTGGGCCTTCTCAGAGGGCTCGGAAGTCCCCCAGGGCCCTTGAGACGTTCTCGAAGCATTTCCCGCAGACGCAGAAGACTTTGCAGGAGGCGCCAGGGCCTCTGATACGTTTCGCCGCCTTCTGAGAAGGCCTTCTCCTTCTCACTCACCCCCCCTCGCTCGCCGCCGCTGTATGAGGAGGAACATGTGCAACGCAAGGCGGGCCTCGTCCAGAGGGGCAGCCTGAGGCGGCAGTCCCAATGGAGTGTCCGAAGCTGAACTCGGAGCGCTGGTGGGTGGTCGCGTCAGTGATTGCGGCGGGTCGCTGGCACGTGTTCTGACTGATGGCGCGCGTGTCTGAGCGGGTTGCGCCTCGACGCCGTGGGGGGCTTGCCCGCGTTATCTGCCGCTCTTGGTTGGCTGGGGGGCGGGGAGGCGGCGGAGGGCGCCGAGGGTATTGCGTGTCCGTGGGATTCGCAGGCGACGTGACACGGGATCATGCGGTGCCCGTGCGATTTAGGTGCATTTGCTATGTGCTCGCGCTGAGTACAGCATGTCGTCCGAGTCTCCTGGTTCCGACGTTCGGATCATTTTTCATGCCTCCAATGTGCTTTAGTCTGCCTTCTGCATGCGTCTCTCCTCGGCTCCTCCTTGCGCCCCTTCCCCTTCGAGTTTTCTGTTTGGTTTCTATCTACGAGCTTCAGCGTTCGAGAATCTGATCTGGTTCAGACAACGTGTGAGCCAGCTTGTGATCTGCGCCCCAGGCGCTCCGACAATCGAACTGGGGCAGCAGTCTAGACTGACTATCGCTGCCGTGTGGTATTCTTTCACCTATGAAGAGTTTATAGCCTTCACCGAAACTGCGCAGCAGCCGTAGTTCCTTCCGAATGGCCTTCGTCGTATCCCTCCACCGTGCCTGGGTTGAGGGTATGAAGCCTATTGGATGTTCGTCGGGATCTCGTGGGAGGCCTCTCGGGGGTCTCTTGAAGGCAGTTTTGAAGCCTCTTGGGGCCCCGTTTCGGCGCCTATTTTGGCCTCTTGGGGGCCTCTCGGGGGCCTAATGGGGGCCTCTTAGACGCCTCCTGGGGGCCTCTTGGGGCCTCCTTGGCGCCTCTGGGGGCCTCCTTGGGGTCTCTTGGGGCGGAAGGCTCGGATTTTCGGTTCGTGTTCCCTCTCTTGGGCCCCTTTCGGGGCCGCCTTGGAGCCCTCTTGGGCCTTCTTGGGCGCCTCTTGGGCCGCCTTGGGGCCCTCTCGGGCAGGGGGCCCTCTCGGAGGCCTCTTGGGGCGATCTTGGGGCCTCTTGGGCCGTCTTGGAACGTCGGGAGGCCGAAACAGCGAGAATGCCAGGTGCCTCCAAACACCTAAGGAACTTCAATGGTTTTTGACTCTTGGGGCCTTCTTTGGAGGCCCCTTCGCGGCCTCTCGGGGCGTTTTGGGGGCCACTCGGGCCGTCTGGGGGCCATCTGGAGCGTCTTGGAGCAACTCGGGGCCCTCCTGGACCGTCTTTTGGAGTGCCTCTTGAGGCTCAGTCTTGGCCCGTCTTGGGGCCCCCCTGGGCCCGAACAAGTCGCGCGACAAGATGCGGGGGAGCCTAGGGGGCACGCGACAGGCCCCGAGAGATTTCGGGAGTGTGGGTCGGGGCCCCTGACGGACCCCACAGAACTGAGGACTGAGGCTCAGGGGATTGGGCAAAGCACCTGAGGACGCGCCCAATCCGTGCCCAGGACCGATGGCGGATTTCACCGAAACCACGCAGGAACCGTATCTAGCTGATTCATGTTAGCTTCCATCCTCCATCGGATCTGTGAACCTGTGGGTGATTGACACGGAGGGGGCGCATGCCGCCCAATGTACGTCAAGGTGCACGTGTCGGCGCGTCGCCACATTCATCGCACTGATGCTTGTGGGAAGCACGCGGAATGCCGCGTGAGCTAAGCATTGGCTGGTCGGCGTCTGCGACTGTTTCTGGCGGCACTGTTTTTCGTCAGCGCTGTCAATGATACGCTGTCCAATGTGTCCAGGGCCCAACAGGCTGCTGCATTGGTGCAGTTCGGACGTTTTCCCCCCAACAGGGTTTGCACTGAGGGTTTTTGCGTTGCTAATTTGCACCACGAAGAGTGTACATCTCGGGTGCTGGTGCCCACTGATCGGGGCTCATGCTGGTCAGCATGGTCAGCTTTTCTGCAAGTCTCACTACTTCCAAAATTTTTTGTGCGAGGCCCTTGTCGAGGCACCGTTCCCCCAGCGTGGTTAAAGCCGATGGGCACTCGTTTGGTTGGCGCCAGTTCTTCGCGACACACGGGGCAAACGGGGCACCTTTCTGACGTTCCGCTCAGCTTTACAAAAGATCGAAAACGGGGTCTTTGGAAGTACCGACCCGTTCCCCGGGGCTGGCTTTCCGCCCCGAGCCATTTTTGACGGTCCTGGGGCCTGGCGAGGGCCTGTCGAGGCAGAAGGCCTCGAACAATTTCCGTACTGTTTTGGGCCAAAGCGTTGGATGTTTGGGACCCCCCCCCCACTTCGAAGTCCCCTCCCCCGTCGAGGCCACCGTGGACATGCGCGAGCCAGGGCTGCCGCCGCCCCCGCTCGAGAGCCGCCCCGCTCGGCCCCGCTCAGCGGAGCCGGGCCGCGGCCCAGCGGCTTCCGACGCGGACCTCGCTGGCGCCCGACCTGCCCGAGGGCCGTGCCGGCTACCGCTGAGGCCCGTGGCGGCGCTGTCGTCGTCGACGTTGCCGCTGAGGCCGACGACGGCGGCGACCTCGTTGCGGAGGCTTCCGGCGCCTCTGGAGGTCCTCTCCTGTCGCCATGGCCAAGGGCGCAGCCCGAAGAGCTGGCCGGGCTGGGTCCTCGGAGAGGCCGAGGGGCCGGTTCTGAGTGGACTCGTCGTCGTCGTAGTCGTCGTCGTCGTCGTCGTCGTCGGCGGCGGCGGCGGCGGCGGCGGCGGCGACGGCCCTCGCCGGGCCCACGTCCCCCGGGTGCTGCTTTTTCACGGCGTCGACCCCGAGAGGTCTTGACCCATTCCCGGGGACCAGCCTTGCATCATCCCGAGCAGTTTCTCTGATTGACGCTCCCAGGGCCCGGCGAGGGCCTCCCGAAGCCGAAGATAGGGCAACACCTCCCGTCATGAGGCTGGCCTCGTGAACAGGTTGCGGCAGTGTCAAGAGATTCCGCCGGAGCCCCAGACCCATCCCTCTGCTGCATTTTTCGAGCTGGGTCCATCCGTGAGGGTCCCGAGGCCCGAAAGAAGGCGGAACCGCCCGCCGAAACTGCGACGCCTAACTCCGAGGGCTCGGCGGCCTTTGGCGGCGGCGGCCACGGCGCGGTTGGCGGCGGCGACGGCGCCCCGCCGCCGCCGAGGCCGCAGCAGGCCGTGGGAGGAGCCGCCCGCGCGGGGAGCGGCGGCAGGCTGCTGCTGCCCAGCGTGGCGTCCAGGACGGCTGCGGCCTCGCGGCGCGGCCGCTGCACTGGCGCGGCAGGCCCTGCACTTCATCGCCAGAGCATGTCCATACCGCCACCGCTTCGCAGTCGTGCCCTGGTGTCTCCCCGCGGGTGCGGGTGTATGCATGTCCACGGCTCCTCGAGGTCCTTGGGTGTGACTCCGGAGCGGTGGACATGGACGTTTTCTGGCGGCGCACCTTGCACCTCCCCAGACCCCCTTGGGACATGAAGAAATCACGACGGGAGGTTTTTCGACCCCACATGAGAATCTGTTTAGCTTACCCTTTGCCCTTTCCTCTTCCTCCTGGGGCTCCCGCCTGAGACTTCCTCACACTTCACTCACAGACGAGGCTCCCGCTCGAGACTTCCTCCATATTCATATCTCAAGCACTCACACTCGAGGCTCCCGCTCGAGACTTCCTCCATATTCAAGTCTCAAGAGCCCAAAAGTGACGACAGTTGCACGTTGCGGATGACCCGCTCGGATTCAAACATGAAGCGCGGGCCCCCACCAAGCAACGACTCGGGATGAAAAACTGGCCTTGGGGAATGGGTCGCGACTCTCGGGGACCCAGTTTTGGAAGAAATAAGGCCGCCTCGGGTAATGACAAGAACTGGTTGAGTTTTTTGTGTTGATCCCTGTGGCGCACACATACGTATAGTTATATGCATATGATTCTAGATATGTAAGGGGTGCGTAAACATGCACACACTGTATCCTTTACTATTTACATAACTACCTATCTGACTGACTAGCTAGCGATCTATACGCACGTACACATGCATCAACACATATATCTAGCTGTCTATCTATACATCAATATACATATCTATATTTACACAAATGTATACACACACGTGTACATGTGCAAATTTCTGTTTATGCATACATCTATATACGCATACATGTACATTTTTTCTATCAAACTAGTTTTTTGTCTACACACATACATATATGTATGCCTGTACTTATCTACCTATCGATTTATATATCTAGCTATATCCACTCACATAAACACACATCTATATGTATGTATGTATGTATGTATGTATGTATGTATGCATGCATGCATGCATGCATGCATGCATGCATGCATGCATGCATGTATGCATGTATGTATGTATGTTTGTATGTATGTATGTATGTATGTATGTATGTATGTATGTATGTATGTATGTATGTATGTATGTATGTGTGTGTGTATGTATGTATGTATGTATGTATGTATGTATGTATGTATGTTTGTTTGTATATACATGTACATACATATATATATATATATATATATGTATGTGCAGCGTAAACAAAGATTCGGGATGAAAAGCCGGTCCCCGGGAAGGGGTACAGACCTCTGGGGGCCCAAGTCACGGAACATCAAGACGTCGGGTGTGTGGGATCCCAGGATCGGCCGCTGCCACAGGTGGCCCGCGCCCGGGGTGGTCCCGGCTCTCCCAGGGTTGGCACAGGCTGCCCTCGGACCACTCCTCACGAGGCCTGGAGGGCCCAAGGGGTCCCAGAAGCGGCGCGGAGATGAGAGGGCACCTCGGTCATGCCCTCCGACCAGACGTCTGGCGAGAGGCTCGCCCGCGGCATCCCGCCATTCTCGGGATCCGTAGGCCCGCCTCCAGGGCAGCAGGACTGCGCCACAGGAGCGGCCCCGGGTGGCACGCCAGCCCTGTCCCAGGGAAGGGATCAAGAGTCCTCCTGTGGGGCTGGCGTCTCAAGCGAGAGGTCTCGGTCCTCCCTCCTCCCGTCCTCTTTCCTGTTGTCGCAAGAAGTCCACGCGGAGCTCCGACAGTTTATGCGATGCTTACGCAGTTTTTTTCCGCCGTTTTTTCTTCCTCTCTTCTGTCCCTCCTCCCTTTCCCCGCCCTCCTCTTGCCTACCAGCCTGCGGTATCAGTCGGAGAGAGAGGGGTGACTGCAGTGCTCAACGAGCGGCAGCGGGGTTTTCTCCCCAGATTCCTCCGCCCAAGAGTGGGGCGATGACTACGGGGAGAAGGCGCTCTCCAGCCTCCGTCCGCGGCGTGCCGACGAGGCGAGGCGCACCCTTCCGCTGGGGGGGGGGGCCTCTCGACGCTTGCTGCGAGACGCAGAGTGCAGTCAGCCCGCGCAGCAAGGATGGGCAGACTGGAGGGGGAAGAGGAGGAGGAGGAGGAGGAGGAGGAGGAGGAGGAGGACAAGTGAAAATCCAAGAGACATCAATGATGTTTCAATCTACCCTCCCTCCAAAGTTCCCTCTCCATAGGCTCATATAAGGATTGATTTTCACTGCGAGGAGAGTCCCGTTGGAAGCCGTCCGAAACTCTTCAACCGTACCATGGCAACATTCCTTGGACTTCAACCCCGCGAATCAAGGTTACTGCTGCGACCTGACGATCCGAAATCGTGCCAGAACACAATTTCTGGAACGTCAGTACCGCGAATCAACGTGACTGTCGCGCTCTGACCATCCTAAATCGTATCAGAACGCCAGTTCTGGGACGTCAACCTTCAGAATCCTTGAAACGGGTGTAAACTGTTCAGACGAGTGCGGCGCTCAGGCGAGAACCACATTTTGAACAGGAGCCGCTCTCTCTCCGTGAAATGCCTGCAAGCTTTTCAGAAGAATGTGCGCGGCGCTAAGGCGAGAGCCACATTTTAGAACCACCCGCCTTCCATCCGTGAAGCTCTTGCATTTTTCTACGACGAATGTGTGTGGCGCCCAGGCGAGAGCCACGGTTTCTCCACCCGCCTTCCATCCGTGAAACTGTTGCACATTTCAAGCTTCAGGATCATAGATGGTGAGGAAGGCTCAGGCGAAACGCCCGGCCCGCCCTACAGACTCGCATCGGGGTACGACAGGGAGCAGTTATGTATAATGAAGACAGATGGATGGATGGATAGATGGACGGATGGATGGATGGATGGACGGACGGAAGGATGGATGGACGGATGGATGGATGCATGATGGTGATGGTGCTGGTGGTGATGATGATGGTGCTGCTGCTGATGATCATGCTGATGATGCTGATGATGATAATGATGGTGGGGATAATGATGACCATGAGGAGGAGGATGACGATGATGATGATGATGATGACGATGATGATGATGCTGATGCTGCCGAGAATGATGCTGCTGCTGCTGCTGCTGCTGCTGATGATGATGATGATGATGATGATGATGATGATGATGATGATGATGATAATGATAATGCTGACGATAATGATGATGATGTTGATGATGATGCTGATAATGATGAGAAGGAGGATGAGGATGAGGATGAAGATGAGGAGGAGGCGGAGGCGGAGGCGGAGGAGGAGGAGGAGGAGGAGGAGGAGGAGGAGGAGGAGTTGGAGGAGGAGGAGGAGGAAGAGGAGGATGTGGAGGTGGAGGTGCAGGTGGAGGTGGAGGAGGAGGAGGAAGAGGAGGAGGATGAGGAGGAGGAAGAGGCGGAGGCGGATGCGGAGGAGGGGGAGGAGGAGGAGGAGGAGGAGGTGGAGGAGGAGGAGGAGGACGAGGAGGAGGAGGATGAGGAGGATGGTGATCATGATGAGGAGGAGGAGAAGGAGGCGGAGGAGCAGGGGCAGGAAGGAGGAGGAGGAGAAGGAGGAAGAGGAGGAGGTGGAGGATGATGAGGAGGAGGCGTGTCGTCCGGACTGCTGCGTCTTGACGATCTGGAATCATGCAAGAGCGCCAATGTTGGGAACTTGATCACAGCGAATCAACATACCGGTTGCACCCACATAGTCCTGAATCCTTCCAAACACCATTTCTGGTACGTTGAGCATGGGATTCCGCGAAACTCTGGCAACTTTTGAAAACGAATGTGCGCGGCGCTCAGGCGAGAGCCACATGTTGAAAACGACCCGCCCTCCATCCGTGAAGCTCTCTTGCAAATGTTTAAAGCGAATGTGCGCGGCGCTCAGGCGAGAGCCACATTTTGAGAACGACGCGTCAATCCGTGAAGCTCTTGCACATTTTTGAAACGAATGTGCGCGGCGCTAAGGCGAGAGCAACATTTTGAAGGCGACCCGCCCTCAATCCGTGAAGCTCTTGCAGTTTTTTACATCGAATGTGCGCGGCGCAAAGGCAAGAACCATATTTTGAAAACGGCCCGTCGTCCATCCGTGCAACTCTTGCAAACTTTTAAAGCGAATGCGCGCGGCGCTCAGGCGAGAGCCACATTTTGAAAGCGACCCGCCCTCCATCTGTGAAGCTGGTGCCATTTTTAAGCTTCGGAGGCATAAATGGTCAGGGGATCTCAGGCGAAACGCCCGGTCCGCCCTAAAAACTGGCCTCGGGGTTCGACAGGGGGGAGCTATCTATAAGGAAAGGGAATGAATGAATGAATGAATGAATGAATGAATGAATGAATGAATGAATGAATGAACGAGGAGGAGGAGGAGGAGGAGGAGGAGGAGGAGGAGGAGGAGGAGGCGGAGGAGGAGGAGGAGGAGGAGGAGAGGAGGAGGGAGGAGGAGGAGGAGGAGAGGAGGAGGAGGAGGAGGAGGAGGGGGGGGGGGGGGGGGGGGGGGGAGGGGGAGGAGGGAGGAGGAGGAGGAGGGAGGAGAGGAGAAGGAGGAGGAAGGGAGGAGGAGGATGGGAGGGGGGGAGAGGAGAAAGGGGAGGAGAGAAAGGTGAGAGGAGGAGAATAATAATAATAAATTACAAGCATTAATA